AGATATTGTATTATTCAGTTTTCTGTTAGTGTAGCAAAATATTCAAGTTCAATTTAAAAGAAATTTATTTTGGTTCACAGCTATGTGGTTCCGGGCAGTTCCCACACACACACACTTTGGGCCTGCAGCAGGAAAGCACATGATGGTGGGGAGCACCCAGCTACCACAGGGGGAAGAAAGCTGCTCACCTCATGGAAGCCAGGAAGCAAAAAAGAGAGAGGAAGAGATTGGAGTCCCTCAGTGCTGTTTGACCAAGCCTCTATCACTATGCCTTGCCTCCTAAAGGATCTACCACCTCCCAACAGGGCCAAGCCTTTAACACATGGACCAGCTCTGACTTGCAGTAGATAAAGTACATGAAAGGCCTAGTGTGGCCTCTGGGTCATTGCAAAGGCTTCATTGGAAAAGTTAGATGACTGCAATGACAATGAGTCACCATCCCATTTCCTAGGATTCCAACCAAGTAGAAAAGGAATAGAAAAAAATGGGAACCCCAAGTCCCCCTCAAACATTCCCCAAGTGCAGGAGTTGACCCAGCCTACGGTGAGTCGTGAGTGGATGTCAGCACCCAGCTCCAGGCTAAATGGCCTCCTGCCTCCCAGATTTCTTTACCTACCATTTCTCTCCACATCTAAAAGTCCTCACACCACAAAGGAGCACCCCGGCACTGGTGGGATTTCCAACAGGGAGAGGGTGAAGGTGCTGGAAGAAGTGGGCCAGTCAGAACCCCCAAAGAGAAGCCAGGACCAAGACCAGCGCTCCTGTCTCCTAGCTCTACCCAGGGAATTCCACACAAAACACTCAGGAAGACCTGGTGGTCACCCTTAAAGAACACACGTCTAAGATCACAGCAGATTCTCTGAGGAGCTGCACATCAAGGGATATTCCAACTGAAGGAAAAAGTCCTGCTGTGGGGTGAGTGTTACCCTTTCCTAGACCAGGCTGAAGCTTAACCCCAAATTCATATGCATCTGGTACTTGAAGGTGGGCATCTTGGGAGGTGACTGGGTTATTTGGTCCTGGAGCCTCTGCCTTTGTGAGTACATGAGGCCATTGGCAGAATGAGTCAGTGGGGTACTGAGCGCACTCATTAGTTGCCATGAAAGTGGGTCTGTTACAAAGCCAGGGTGGTCACCCCACATGAGCCCTGAGTCCACAACCCGCCCCGTGCTGCCAGGGACTCTGCAGAAGCACCCACCTGCAGGAAGGTGCTCTTGACCTTGAGCTCCCAGCCTTCGGAACTTTAAAAAATTCTTTTCTTTATAAATTATCTGTTCTCAGGTATTCTGTTAAAGTCACAGGAAATAGACCGACGCCAGGCCTTTTTCTTTTTCGCCTTGTATTGTTGTTGCTTCCTGCTTCTCTTTGATGTAAAAAGCAGGAGTTTCAACAGAGACAGTAAAGTAGGCTGGTGTAACCACTGTGAAAATTCCTCATAAAGCTAGGATTAGAGATTCCATTTGACCTATCTATCCCACTTCGGGGCATTTTCCCAGAAGAATTGAAAAGATCATACCACAATGATACATGTGTACTCATGTTTATAGCAGCACAATTTGTAATAGCCAGATCTTGAAAACAATCCAAATACCCATCAACTGAGGAAGGGATAAAAAAGATGAGATATGTTTATACAATGGTGTACCACTCAGCTATGAAGATTGTGTCAAGGCTCTTATAGGTAAATGGACATGACTTTAGACCATACTTGTAAGTGAAATAAATCAGACTTAAATGTTTAAATACCATATTGCCTCCCTAGTGTAAGAAACCGAAAGAGCAAATAAGATCCAAAATCTACAATACATGTTGTGTCCGAGTAAAAAACTACTCAAAGGGGAAAGTAACTGAAATAAGAAAAAAAAAAAAGAAAAAGAAAAGGAAAAGGAAAAAGACATAAATTTGTGTATATATATATACACATAAGATAGCTAAGATTCTACTACTAATTCTACTAGTTCTTGGAAAAGAATAGCTAATACTCATATGATTAGATCAATTTGGCATGTCTATATCTGGTAATCTAAGCAATCCTTTTGAAGATAACAATATGCAATATAACAAACATTGTTAAATTCCAATCATCTTGTTTCAAGTCTTATTGTTTTGGGCTTGTTATTGTTATTGTTTGCTTTCTGCTTTTCTTTTCTGCATCTTTTTTTCTCTTAAAAGCAATAGAGACAGCAAAGAAGGAAAAGAGAAAAAAACAAAAGAGACCACGTTATGAGTTTTCTCTGGCTCAGCTGAGGCTGCACTGGGCAGGAGAGGCACTGTGCTCAATGTGACCTAGAGCCAGCCACTTTGGTACCTCACCCGTTGCGTCTCTAGTTCTTACATAGAAGGAAATGCTGCCATGGTGGCAGATGTGTTAAGGATAGAATCCAGGCCTTCACACTGAGCTACACCCCAACCTTTTTTTTTTTTAAAGATGGGATCTCACTAAGTCACTACGTTATCCAGGCTGAGTTCAAACTTGCAATCCTCTTGCCTCAGCCTTCCAGAAGGCCAGGATTACAGGATGCCAGGCTTCTGTCATTTTCACTGTAGAGCCAAGAAAGTAGTTCTAAGAGAGTAAACACTAATATTAACAGCTAATATTTATGGGCTGCTAGTAATATGCCAAGATGCTGTTGAATTCATTTTCACTATAAGAACAGACACAATTGTCATTTCTGGTTTGCAGAGGATTTCCCTGAAACAGAGCAGGCGGATCTGAAACTTCATCTGTAAACTCTTGACTACCAAATGCTACATACTGTCTTCCAAAGCAGGCTGTGAAAGAGCCCCTTCCCATTGAGGCCATGTAGGCACCCTGGGCTCCAGGGATATGAGCCATCCTGAACACAGGAGAAAAGATGGAAAGTATAGCAGGCCCTCCACAGACACTCATTCACTCACTCCCTCACTCATTCAGCACAGCCTCATTGAGCCAGGTCCTGGGGAGGTGTTAGCAATGCACAGCAGAACCCCGCACCGTCCAGGCGGCTCCGTCAGCCCTCAGAACGGGGAACCAAGGCTCCTGGCTCCTCGGCTACTGCTCACTGACATTGTTGCTAACATTTCCATCTCAAAATTAAAATTACATACATTACTTTTTCAAGTGACTACTAAGTTGTTAAGACAAAAATACGCAAACATCTTGCACCTCACTTCCTCATAAATGACTATTGGATGTTTACTAGGCCTATGAAACACTGCAAAAAGAATTTCTGGAGACATTAAAATACCAGGATAGAAAAAGCTTGAGAAACTGCTCTATGATAAATTCATATCATTGTATCTGCTACATCAGAGGGCAAGCAGATTTAACTTTTCATATAAATAAGTCTGAATTGCTTCCAGAGGATTTAAATCTATCATCTAACCAGAAAAATACGGTTGAAAATAACATTTATATAGAGACCCCAAATACCTGACTCCTTCCCCGCAGGAGACTTCCCTGTCACAAAGAATCCAAGAACTTTCTTGGAATTACTACATATTTCTACCTATGCAAGTCATGTATTTTTGTTTTTAAAATCTGTGGGATTTTAGGGGTTTGTCAGATAAACCATGGGAAGGAAACACATTAATATGCCAACAAATGTTTTCTCGGGGCAAGGGATTCGGTGATGATTGCTTTCTTCCATAGGATTTCTCTGTTGTCTACATTATTTACAATGATCATATTCAAGCTTTTTAAACTGAAAAAATAAAAGCACATGGCAGGGGAGAGCTTCAAATTCTTTGAATTAAATTCATATCCAAATTCTATTAATAAGAACTCAGGATCCAGTACTAAAATATCCATCTCCTGTCATCTTCCTTTTGAGAAATGAAACCCCTGGCATAAAAATAGCCTTTGCATGCAGTTAGGAGAGAGTCAAAAACAAAACAGAAAAAGAGAAGGAAAACTGTCTGTTAGCAAGTCTACATCTAGACAGTCTGAGAACTGAAAACCAGCTCCATCCCCAGCCTGAGGACTCCTGCCCTTCATGGGACAGGAGAGGCTGGTAGCTGTATGTGAAACACTGAGTTTAGCTGTGGCTTGATTAATTTTAGAAGGCCCTGACTTTCTGAGTCATCCTGAGGTGGCCTGATTGGAATAAATTGGGCGAGGTCAAGCTGGCTGTCTCCTCAAGTGTCCCTGGGGCTCTGCCAGCCCCTTGAATTGGGAAGCTTCGTTCCCGTCAGCAAGCACCATCTTACCAACAGGAGGGCCCAGGTTACCAGCTGAAAGCAGCAGCACCACCTCGGAAGCCTGTGCCCTGTGACGGGGGAGTCAAAGGCAGCTCGTACGATCACAGCAAGGCCCTTCCCGTTATACCCGCAATGATAAAGCACCTACTGTGTACAAACACAGTGCAGCAACGGTTATCAACTTAATCATCCATGAGTCTAAGGACCTTACCACAAAGAATATGTGCCAGGGGCCCCCTGGATGTGCTGCTTTAGTATTCAGGGCAGGGGTCCCCAGGTGTTTGTCTGATCACCCAGATCTGGGAGCCACCACTGTGGGAATGCAGAGCTGAGCGACACAGCCCCTGCCAGCATGGCAGCATGGTGCTCTTGGTCGGTTGGAGCCATCACTGTGGTTGCAGGGAAAATGGGGTGACTGCCTATCTGTCTCATGTGTCCCACGATACCTGGCCTGAGAAGGGCCCCATCCAACCACACAGCTGAGAGTGAGGTGGTCCCCAAAGGCATGAGTGTTATTGTGACAGATGGCAAATGTCACCCCCGGCTGATCTACCAGGAGTTTATCATCCAAACCAGCTTCAGCAGCAAAAAACCCAAGCTGGGTATCTAGACACAGAGGTCAGCATATTTCTGCCCAGTGCTGCTGCAGCTGTTTCTCTAAAAGCCACCTCCTTCGGTGGGCATTGCCTCCACCCGGCCACTCAGCCATCCACCCAGCCTGGTGCTCTGACCACCTGCCCAGCCACAGGCATTGGTTCAGAGGTGAGCCCCTGACTCAGGCCAATCAGAGTCTTCTCAGGGATTTGTCCCAACTGGAACAGGGAGGAAGCTCAGCAGGTATGCAGTGTGCCCAGAGGAAAAGCAGAAGTCTTTGTAGCCAGCTCTCCACTGTGTGCAAGGAGAGCGGGAAAGCAGTTGTCACAGCCAGGGGGACGCCTGCCAGCCCCGACTTCTCAGTTCCCTCACCCTGCCCACTACCAAGTTTGGTTTGGGCTTCTTCTAGCCCTACAGCAACCAAAGAGCTGTAGCGAATACTAGTGCTGTGTCAGTGATACGTGGGCCTACAGGAAAAATAGATGCCAGAGCCCTGCCTCGCTGCTCCACAGGGCCACTTCACAGGCAGCATCCACATGCGCATCAGCCAAGCTCCGGCTTAGGGGCATATCAGCGTGGATTTCCAAGGGAGAGAGCACAGGGCATTCTTGAAGCAGCACTGAGCCTTTATTCCCGGGTAAGCCGTAAATACCCCTGAATCCACAGGAAGCCTTCCGAGGCACACATACTGTACTCTGGCTATTCTTAGCGGTGTTCCGTGGTGAGGAAGAGTGCGGGATCCCTGTGGCGGCACGTCCTGGGGAAAGATGAGCTGGCCCTCAGCTGTGCTGCCCTGCTCAGTTCCTGCACTTAGTGATGCAGCTCACATTGCAGCCGGGGTTAAAGCCGAGGGGCTCCAAGACGCCTTTCTTAAGTGCGGCCAAGCTGGAAGTATGCCCAGGGGCCAACTCGACAGGCCTGACAGCTTAGAAGGATTCCCAGTCCCACGGGCCACACACGCTAACACGTTGACCCTCACCATGGTTCCTTTGTCTGGGCTCTTGGCTTTAGGTTTCTCTCGGTGTGGACTCTTCAGGAACCTCAGATGTCACTGGGGAACTGTCCAGGGACCACAGATTAACAGGGCCCTCCAAAGGGTCAGATTTCCTGTCTCAAATTTTCTCCTAAAAATATTCAAATGCATTGCTTAACAGCTTTATTAAGATCTATTTCTGTACTATCATACGCCCATTTTAAAAAGTATAATTGAGTGGTTTTCACATAGCCACACAGCTTTTCAATGTTCAACATAATCCACTTCAGAGCACTTCCATTACTATGGAAAGAAATGCTTTACCCCTTAGGTGCCATCCCTTAAAGCCCCAGACCTCTCTTAAATATGTAGAGATTCCACTGTTCCAGACATTTCCTATCAATGAAATCGCATAGCCAGTAGTCTGTCGTAGCTGGCTCTGGGATTTCTGTGTCGTGGCGCGGGTCAGTTTGTGTTCATGGCCGACTATTATTCCATCGTATGAACACATCACATTTAGTTTACTCTTTCCTCAGCTGGTAGATGTTTGGATTGTTTTCGCCTTTCGACTATCATGACTAATGCTGTTAGGACATTTACGTAAAAGTTTTTATTTGACATATATTTTCATTTCTTGTGCATGGGTACATGGCTAATAGTGAATCTGGGTAAAATAACTCTTACTGAGGAATTGGCCATGCTAATCCAATGCAACTGCATTATTTCTTTCTCTTTTTTTTGTACCGGGAATGGAATTCACGACCATGCACTTGCAAGGCAGGGCGTATGCCACTGAGCTACATCCCCAGCAGTAACTGCATTATTTGACAAGGCCACCAGTGATGTGGCCACATTCCCACAGTTGTCCTTTTTTTTTTAATTTTAGCCATCCTACTGGGTGAAAGTGGTATCTTGTGATGGTTCTTAATTCACTTTTCCCTGATAACTGATGATGTTATCTTTTCATGTATTTATTGGCCTTTTGCATATCACCTTGGGAGAAGTATCTATTTAGATTCTTTACCCATTTTTTAATGAGTTACTTGACTTGTTATCATTAAACGTAAATGTGCTTTCACTGTAAATACAGGTCTTATATACTTCCAAAATTTTTCGCCACACCACGGATTGACTTTCCACTTTTTCTTTTCTTTTTCTTTTTTTTTTTTTTTTTTTTCTTTTGGAGACAAGGTCTCACTATGCAGTTCAGACTGGCCTTGAGATCACTTTGTAGCCCGGGCTGGTCTCAAATTTCCAACGATCCTCCTGTCTCAGCCTCCTGAGAGATAGAATTACAGGCATGCGCCATCACACCTGGCTTGACATTTCACTTTTTTGATGATGGTCTTTAAAGCAAAGAAGTATTTAATTTTTATGTGTTCCATTTATCCATTTATACTTTTGTTTCTTTGCTACGTGTGTTCCGTGTTTTAGCTAAGGAACCATTCCCAAGCTGAAGATCACAAAGATTTTCTCTTACACTTTTCTCCCAAAACTTTTTCAGCTTGGGTCTTTAACCCATTTTGAGTTAATTTCTCAATGACATTTATGAGAAGGGATCCTGTTTCTTTTGTGTGTGGATATCCACTAATGCCAGCATCATTTGTTGAAAAGACTGATCCTTCTCCTTTGTACTGTTTTGGGTCCTATTTTAATAATAAACTGACCTTAAATGCGAGAGTTTATCCCCCAGATTTTCACCTATCCCATTTGTCAGAACCACAAATTCACAATGACTAATTTTTTGTACTCCCCTAAAATATAAACCGAGACCTGGGATTATGGTATCACCCTTTTGAAATTTCTCATTATTTCTTTAGGGACAGGCCATCCTCTCTCACCCACTAAGACTAAAACTAAAACCACTAAGGTTATAAGTCACTCCAGGGCAAGATCCTTCTTAGCCTAGAATACCTCTGTCCTCTTGAGTCATCCAATAATCCCCTCCTTGATCAATAAATACTGACGTTCTTGCTGCCTCGTGGCCTTCTGTTGCCACTATACTGCTATTTTGTCTCTAGTTCATTCTCTTTCTGTCTCTCTCTCTCTCTCTGTCTCTGTCTCTCTCTCTCTCTCTCTCTCTCTCTCTCTCTCTCTCTCTCTCTCTCTCTCTCTCTCTCATGCCATAACACCTGGCGGGAGATTGGAAACTCACTCAGGGTTCCCAGTACGTACTGACTGTATGTCTGTTCTCAGGTCAGTAGCATATTGATTACCACAGCTTTGTTGTAAGTTTTGAAGTTAGAAAGCTGAATCATCTCATTTTATTCTTCCCTTGAAGATTGTTTTAGCTATTATGAGTTCCTTGCATTGCCATAGGAGTTTCAGGATCAGCTTATTAATTTCTACAGAAAAGCTAACACAGATCTCATAAATGAATCTGTAGATATACTGGGAATATTTCCATTTTAGCAATATTGAGTCTTCTGATCTACGAACATGAGATGTCATTTCATTTATTTTGGAAGTTTTCTTGCATTTCTTTCAATATCTTATAGTTTTCAGCACATATGTCTTATATATCTTTTGTTAAGTTTATTCTAACTATTTTATTATTCTTGATCCTATTATAAAAGGAATTATTTTCTTAATTTCATTTTTGTATTATTCACTGGTAATGTCAGGGAACAGAACCAACTCTCATATATAGAACTTATGCCCTGCCACTTCGCTAAGCTCATTTTTTAGCTCTAGTAATATTTGTGTGTGTGTATCTTCATAGAGTGTTTTTTAGCTGAATAGTCATATGGCTTGTAAATGGATGTAGTTTTACTTCTTCCTTTTATTTCCTTTCTTGCCTCGTACAGTGTTGAATAGAAAATAGAGCAGACAAGTTTGTCTTGTTCCTTATTTTAGGGGAAATGCATTCGTCCAGTCTTTTATTATTATTATTATTATCATTATTATTATTATTGGTACCAGGAGTCAAATGCAGGACCTTGTGCTTGCCAGGCAGGTGCTGTGCCACCGAACTGTACCCCTGGCCCTTCAGCCTTTCATTATTAAGTGTGATGTGAACTGTGAGTCTTTTTTATACAGATGCTCCATGTTAGCTTAAGGCATTTCATTTCTCCTACTTTGCTGATTGTTGCTGCTTTATTTTTATTTGTTTTATCATAGAAGATGTTGGGTTTTGTTAAATGACTCGCCTGCTTTTTCCTGCTATAGGGTCTATTGATGATGATGTGGTTGTGTTTTCATCTGTTCTCATTACATTGGTTTTTGTTCTTATTTTGGGATTTTAAATCAACCTTGCATTCTACTATAACCCTCACTGGGTCACAGTGCGCAGACCTGTCTACTTGTTACAGCAGAAGACTCCTGGGTCTGTGTTCACGCTAAGTATTGTCTCTAGTTTTTTGGATTTTGTTTTTTTGTGTTTCTGCTGGTTGAGTCAGAATGACACTGGTTTCATAAATGATTTAGAAAGTGTTACGTCCTCTATTTTTGTAGAAGAATTTGTGAAGAATGGATAGTAATTAAATGTTTGATAACATTTACCAGTAAAAGTCACCCAGCTTTTCTTTGTGGGTAGTTCATGATTACTAATTCAACCTCTTGACTTATTATAACTCATTCAGATTTTCTATTTCTTTTTGAGTCAGTGTTGATGGTTTATGTCTTTCTAAGAACTTGTCCATTTCATATGTTATCTAATTTACTTGGCATATAATTATTCATAATATCCTTTATAATCTGTTTTATCTCAGTAAAATCAATAGTATTATTTCATCTTTCACTTATGATTTTAGTTACTTGAATTTTCATTTTTTGTGGGCAAGATAGGTAAAGATTTGTTAGTTTTGCTGAGCTCAAAGGAATAAAATTTAATTTCCTTTATTGTTTTATTGTTCTCTAGCTCATTTTATTTTCATGATAACATTTCCTTTTACTCAGCTTTTGGCTTGATTTGCTCTATTTGTGTGTGTGTGTGTATGTGTGTCTTATGGTGAAAGCTTAGGTTATTTTTTTATTTTAAAAAAAGAAAAAAGGAGTAAAAACAATTGTACAAAATTTCAAAGCAGAATATTCCCTAATATTTAACAATAGTTAATGTGTTGTGTATTTTTGTATTCAAAGTAGTTGTTCAGATTACCAGACATATATATGAAAAATTATCAAACAATGAAAGCACAAATTGTTCTTTTGTTAGGCTAACAGAGATTAGTAGTATAATTATCTGTCTTGTGTGTGTGCATATATATATATACACATATATATAATCTCTTTCTTGTTTCTTTTTTCTTTCTTTCTTTCTTTCTTTCTTTTTCTCCTTTCCCCCATCCCAGTTATTCTTTCCCTTGTAGACATTTCTTCCCCCTTTCTCTTTCACAATGTCTATTGTAATTTTGGATCCTACTAACTCCTTCAGGTTTTTATACTAAGAGACAACATGATGTTCACCCATGTGAGTCCAAACTCATAAGTATGACCTCAAGTTGCATCCACTTACCTACAAGAGCTTTGCGATTATCCTTCTTTACAGCTGAGTAGCTTTCCATTGTATAAAAAACCCATATCTTTCTTATCCATTCTGCAGTTGATGGGCAATCTCCCCTTGATTTTGTCCTGGTTCCATGTTGCACGGAGCATCGTTTTCTCTCCTTTTTATTCTATGAATTTCCTTTCAAATTAAATGTGTTTCTTGTATATAGCATATTGAT